CTAGAACAGGGTTTTTTTTTTTTTTTTTTTAATGCAATCATAATGATGGGCCGCGTTAGGTTTAGGGAAAGAAGGCCTGCGACCCTACCAATTCATTTACACGAGGATGAACGTTCAGAAAGCGCGCGGGGCGAAAAGACCAAAAAAAAAAAAAAAAAAAACGCGTCGATCTCGGGGAACACTCTTCCCGTCCTCGTTTTCTTTATTTTTTTTCAGCTAAGTCCCCCGGATATTTTAATTTATTTAAATTATTTAAATTATTTCTGAATTCCCCGGCAAATTTCCCAGCAAAGATAAGATCTAAGCAAACAGGACGCCGAGAGAGGAGAAAGAGGAGAGAGAGGAGAGAGGAGAGAGGAGAGAGGAGAGAGGAGAGAGGAGAGGAGGGAGGAGAGAACAAAACCTTGTGACCAAGTAAAATGAATACTGTCTTTTTTATTGTATGCCGGAAGGAAAAGACCCACATTTATAAATAGTATAAATGGGGAAAAAAAACCGGAAACGGATAAAATGACCAACTGACTGACCGAGGTTCCGCTTCCAGATATACCCTCCTCCTCCTCCTCCTCCTCTTCCTCCTCCTCCTACCCCCCTCCACTTCTCTCCTAAACTGCGTCTTCCTCTCACCGTCTGTTCTCTCCTCCTTAAACCACCTCGCCATCTTCCTCCTCCCCTATTCTCTGATAACTCCCGCCTTCCTTCTTTTTTTTTTTTTTTTTTTTTTTGGAAAGATGGGAACTTTTAATTTCAAACCTTACAATTCAACTCTCGCCGTTTTTGCCCCACAGAGGCGTAGTGATCGGCAGTCATTAGACTTCACGTCAACACAAAAATCTCCTCAAAAACCTCATTCTCCACGCCAGCGTCTGCCACGTCATCTTCCTCATCCTTGTCATCTCCAGCTCCTGCTTTTCCATCGTCTTCATCCCCACGTCATCGCGATCACCACCTCATCGCCATCGCCATCGCCATCGCCAAGTCAAGTCATCACAATCGGCACGTCATCGCCAACACCCTCGCCACGTCATCGCCAACACCCTCGCCACGTCATCGCCATCACCATCGGCACGTGATCGCAATCCCCATCGGCACGTCATCGCCAAGTCATCACAATCGCCACGTCATCGCACTTGCCACACCATCGCCAAGTCATCGCAATTGGCACACCATCGCCACGTCATCCCAATCACGACCGCTACGTCATCCCAATCACCATCGCCACGTTATCGCAATCACCATCGTCACGACATTGCAATCACCATCGCCACGTCATCGCAACGACCATCGCCACGTCATCACCATCGGCACATCCTCGCCATCGCCACGCTAACACCATCGGCACATCCTCGTCATCGCCACGTCATCACCATCGGCACATCCTCGCGATCGCCACGTCATCGCCATCGCCACATCAACGCCATCGCCACGTCATCGTAATCACCATCGCCACGTCAGCAATTGCCACGTCATCGCAATCACCATCACATCGTTATCACAATCGCCAAGTCGTCACAATCACCATCGCCACGTCAGCAATTGCCACGTCATCGCAGTCACCATCGCCACGTCATCGTAATCACCACCGCCACGTCAGCAGTTGCCACGTCATCGCAATCACCATCACATCGTTATCACAATCGCCAAGTCGTCACAACCACCATCGCCAAGTCAGCAATTGCCACGTCATCGCAGTCACCATCGCCACGTCATCGCAATCGTCACGTCGTCTTCCTCCTGCTTGTGGTGTCCAGATCCTGCTTAAATTTGATCGCTGCCATCGCCACGGCCATCGCAATTGCCACTCCATCCTCCTCCTGCTTGTGATCTCCACCACTTTTTACTTCCGTGACGTCATCCTCTTCCTCGTAGGATGGCCATGGTCATCACCCCAATCCTCATCGCTGAGGTTAATGACCATTACCATGGTCAGAGAGGAAGATGACCATCGCGATCGTCGGAGAGGAGGATGGCCATCGTCATCGGAGGGGAGGAAGATGACCATCGCCATTGCAATCTCCACATCTCCTCCTCCACGTCATCTTCCTCAGGTATGGAATCGCCCTCACTCAGGTTGATGACCATCTCCATCGCCAAGTCAGAGAGAGATGGCCAGGTCCCTCCACCAATCGCACCAAAGACAAAAAGATACACATGAAAAAAATTAAAAAACAAAACAATGCAGTCATAACAATAAATGGAAAAGCACACGGCAAACAGCGCGCCTTATCAACGACCAACGAGATCCTCTTTAGAATCCTGTCACGGCTTTAAAACGAACCATACCCTTCCTGCTCTATCAAACCTCTCTTCTCCCACCTCTCCTCGTCATTATGATCATCTCCACCTCCACACGCAAGAGTTATTTCCCATTACCATCTCTCCCTCGTCTCTCAGGACCTACCTACTCTTTGCCCCCCCCCCCCCACCAAAAAAATAAATAAAGAAGAACTACCTAACCCACTCTAACCGGCATTTCACCTCCCTCAACTGGACATCTCATCCTATCCTCCTCCTCCTTCACGTTATCTGCAAGCTCATCTCCTCCTCCTCCTCCTCCTCCTCCTACGCCTCCTCCCCCTCTCCTCCTCCTCCTCCTTCTCCTCCTCCTCCTCCTCCTCCTCCTCCTCTCCTCCTCCTCCTCCTCTCCTCCTACTACGTCGACTCCTCCCAGTCCTCATCTTTCTCCTCCTCTTCCCTCCTCTCCTCCTCTCCTCCTCCTCCTCCTCTCCTCCTCCTCCTACTCTTCCTCTTCCCTCCTCCTAGTCAACCCAAGCTAACCGATCGGAACCCAACTTACGGAGTTGGGAGGAGGAGGTGGAGGAGAGGAGGGAAGAGCAGGAAAACGTTAGTTACCAGAGATGCGATGCATGTGGTCTAACGTTTTCTTCCTCTTCCCTCCTCTCCTCCACCTCCTCCTCCACCTCCTCCTCCAACTCCTCCTCTCCTCCTCCGTACTGATCGGCGACCTGTACGGTCAACGAACACGTTATAGACCACATGAATTTGTGGTTCCCTTCGTTGTTTGTCTTCTTTTTTTGTTCTTTTTTTATTATTTTGTCATTCTTTTCTTTCTTTTCCCCTAACGTGTTGACGTGATTTGCCAGTATGTTGCCAATCAAGCACGCGTGGCGATTCCTTGTTTCATTTAAGATTAGTAGGTGTTCCCGATCAAGGACATGTGGCGATTTATTAAGTATTATTTCATTGCTACGAGTACACGTGTCAAAACCCAAGAACACGAGATCACGTGTCACATGATTTTTTTTTTTTTTTTTTTTTTTTTTTTGTCACATGAATTTCTTCTTTCATGTCACGTGATCACGTCTTGGTAGCCACGTGCGGAGGGGTAATCAGGGAGGCACAGCGACTGGCCTCTCATCAGATAATGGCTCGGTCTCTCTCTGCTACTGCCTGTCCCCTGGCCGGTGTCCCCCCCATTTGGGGCTCCCTGAAGGCAATAAATAAAGGCCACCCGGTGTCAGATTAGACACATGATTGAATTTACCTGGGGGCTGCTTAGTCCGATGTTAAAAAAAAAAAAAAGAAGAAGACCTGGCGAATTGCTGCTTCATTTAACTACCACTCCGAGTTGCCACGTGGCAGGTTTTTCTTGTTTCGCTTCAGACAGAGTCCGTGGTGCCACGTGGCGACGCATCGAGTGTATCGTGATTGGTCATTGCTTGCGGCCGTTCTCCCTCTCCTCTGTTCTTGAATGTTCTCGGTCGTAAAAGGCAGGCCGCCACGTGGCAGCGATGGCCGCATCATCACGCAGCCCGTCTTATCTCGATCATCATCGCCATCCCTTTTTTTTTTTTTTTTCAAAAGAAAACTCGCCGGTCTTGAGATACCATCATTGAGCTGATCTGCCCCAGGTAATTCCACAATTTTATTTTATTTAATTCATCTAGTTTCTGTCTGGATTGTACCAACTGAACTTAGGCCCGTTGGCATCCTTCTTCATCATTCTCTTCTCTGTGCTTGACGTTTTTCCCTTTAGCGCCTAACCTTATTCCATGCATTTGATTCTGATTCCCACAGGACTCGAGCTCATGACCTATTTTTCTAACAGTTACCCCATGTGTGCTAATCTGGCACATCCGCTGGCTATGGCTTCCTTCCCACCTTCCTTCTTCCTTTGGTCCTTCGGCAGATCGCAGCCGTTGAAAATGGAACAATACGGAGGAACAGTACAGGAGCCCTATGCAACTGAAGGGATGGGCCCTGTGGACAAATGGCGAATTGGTTCCTTTTTTTTTTTTTCCTCCATTTTTTCCTCTTTTTTTTTTTGAATTTTGAGGCACAGTTACTGGCAAATGCTCGGCCCCAACCGCCCGCCCAAACCCTGCACCCTAAACGCTAAGGGCAAATGGGCAAACACGCCGTAACCGCTCTCCACCGTGAGAGGTAACCTCCCTTCACCGAAGAGAGGTAGAAAGCTATGCTTTCAGGGGTCCCCTGTATACCCTTAGGAGTAGTGGTAGGTAGGTAATGAAAGACAGATATGTTCCATGACATGGCAGTCCCCCGGGACCATGTCCCACTTGCACCTTTTAGTTGAGGCAATACGGCCACCTCTACATCCGCAGCAGAAAACGACGACTCGCCCTGGACACTGGACCTCTGGCTTGTAATACAAGATCATGAATGCATTGGAAATTAAGAGCTGCGCTAATCTTTCCTCACCTTCCATGGATTTCTATGTGGATTTCATGTGAAATCTTGTGGTCCTTGTGCATGGAGTGTCCACGCAAGTGGTTCATAGCAAGACATGCGCCCTTTTTATGTCTGTCTCATTGGCCGGAAAGATGCATGTGCATTGACTGGATCGATGCGTAGAGAGTGGCTACGTCCCCCACGCCGCGGCTCGGTCATGCAGCTGTAGACACTTCCTTCTTCCCTCTTCCTTCTGCTTCAGCGTATTTCGGAATTATCTCGCGCAAATACTAAATACTATCAAGTTTGCAAGCGCGACCAATTCGCACCCTAATCTACACTTGGGAGTTAGTGTGGTCGAGAGGATCGGCTAACGAGCAGAGACAGGACAGTGAGTAGGGAGTTGGGCGATCTGACGAGCTGATGCTGAGTGTGGGGGGTTGACACACGGCTGCGAAGGAATATGGCATGCGGGCGAACCTGGCTGCACGCTCGGATCAAGCGATGTGACAACGCCGTGTTGTTGGTAGGTACGAGGCGACGGACTACCCGCATCGGAGAAATGTTGAGAGAGAGAGAGAGAGAGAGAGAGAG